CATGTTATACGACGACTAGATCTCCCCACCCTTTTGTTCGTTCGTTTTGCTTGTTTTATTTATAAAGGCGGCTCATGGTGTTAAAAGGAACAGAGTTAAAATATAATAAGTTAAACATTAAAATAAACCTATATGGCAATTAAAATACAATGTAATACTTAAAAGCAAGTGAACATTAAAAGCTACCTGACTCTAAGAAGGCTTTCAGGGATTAAACTGTTAGAAGTCTGCCTGAAAAGATGGGTCTTTTCGACCTGCATGCACTACAACTCTCATCAGCCTCCAGCCTGCCCAGTGATAAAGGATTGTGGGAAGCGTAGTGAGAAAGAAAACTTGCTAACTCTCCAAATCTCCGGCCAAGATGGACGGTTCTGGAAGGCGTCATCCAAAAGAACAGAACCTTTCTAAGCTTTTGACCAAACCCCACCCCATGATCTCTGCTCAATGTCATATACACAGGGCTGTCAATTGAAGAAATGAGAAAAGATCAAGTGTCAGGATGTGACCCTGGAGCCCAAGGCGAAGGCCACCCATACCATTGTATTTCTGATCACCATGTGTATATATAGGTGTGAAAGCTGAAGAGAGAAAGCTGATTGGGGGGGAGATGATTTGTTTGGAATGTGGTGCTGGAGAGCAGCTTTGCGGATACTCTGGCCAACCCAGAAAGAGATACAAGTGGGTCCTTCATCAGATCAAGCCTGAGTTGTCTCTAAAGGCAAAAATGTTGAAGCTCAGGTTGTCCTAACTTTGGGCCCATCGTGAGAAGGCAGGATCATACAGGTGGGTCCTTGATCAAATCAAGCCTGAGTGGTCTCTAAAGGTAAAAATGTTGAAGCTCAAGGTTGTCCTAACTTTGGGCCCATGGTGAGAAGGCAGAATTCTATAGAAAAAGACAATAACGATGGGAAAAGTGGAAGGCTGTAGGAAGAGAGGAAAACCAAAGACAAGATGGAATGATCCCCTAAGGAAGCCAAGGGACATTTTGGAGATCAGCCACTGACAGGGGGGTCACCATAGGGTCGGAAGTGACTTGAGAACACATAACAATAACTAGAGTACAACAAGAAAGGGGGGGTCTTTTGAGTACACCCCAAGGTCCCCAAAATCTAGAATATGATTTTGCAAAATTTTGATTTTGCAAAATCTAGAGACCTTTGGGTGGTGTGGGCGGCATATAAATTAAAAAAAATTAAAAATAAATAAATAAATAAATAAAAATAAATTAGGAAAATAAATGGCACCATTTCCCATTCATAATCACGGTCCTTTTTTTAATTTTTATTTTTTGAGAGCATAAATGCTATTTTGGGGGAGAGAGTGCCGGTCCTCATGCTTCCAGGTGGAGCGGGTCCCACTTGCCCAGGGGCCACGAGAGATTTGTGTCTTTGGACTACATGTCCCAGAATCCCCCAACCAAGCCGAGCTGGGAGTTATAGTCCAAAAAAACCCCACAAACCCTAATTGTCCCCTTCTCTAGTTTGCGCTTTGCCTGACTGAAACCCCATCTACCCAGGTCTTCCCCTCCGGCTCCTACGCTTTCCCCCTCCCTCTCCCCTCCTTCGGGCATGACGGGAGATGTAGTCCCAGCGCATCACCCAACGAGCTTATCGGCTATCTTGGCGGTGATTGGTGGGCGGCAACGTTCTAGGACCGCCCCCCCCTTCTTTTTTTTTCTAGTTTGCGCTTTGCCTGACTGAAACCCCATCTACCCAGGTCTTCCCCTCCGGCTCCTACGCTTTCCCCCTCCCTCTCCCCTCCTTCGGGCATGACGGGAGATGTAGTCCCAGCGCATCACCCAACGAGCTTATCGGCTATCTTGGCGGTGATTGGTGGGCGGCAACGTTCTAGGACCGCCCCCCCCTTCTTTTTTTTTGCCCCCATTCCATTC